TGAGGGTGCACTCCATCCCACTGTCCACACTGCTAACAAAGATGTTAAACAGCACCAGTCCCAATACCAACCCCTGAGGAACACCATTCATCACTGGTCTCCACTTGGACATTGAACTGTTGACTGCAACTCTTTTGAGTGCGAACATCCAGCCAATTCCTTACCCACCGAGTGGTCCATCTGTCAAATCCACGTCTCTCCAATTTAGAGACAAGGATGTCATGTGAGACAGTGTCAAATGCTTTGCACAAGTCCAGGCAGATGATGTCAGTTGCTCTTCCCTATCCACCAATGCTGTAACCCCATTGTAGAAGGCCACCAAATTTGTCAGGCATGATTTGCCCTTAGTAAAGCCATGTTGGCTGTCACCAATCACCTCCTTATTTTCCATTACTGATGTAATTATATAAAACTAAATCAGCTTATAAAAACCGCAAATACACAATAATCTATTGTATTATGTGGATATATTCGCTCTGAGGAAAGATAACTACATTAAAGGAAAATTTTAAGAATAGCCTGCATCACTCAAGAGAGGCAGTGCAGCAGTTGTGCCAAAACTCTTAACCAAAAAACGAAGTAAGATCTCAAGTACCTGCAGGCTGCCAATTTACAGGTGTCATATAATGGTATGATGAATGACTTTAAGGTTTCACCTGCCAAGTATTGGATAATCAGGTAAGTATGTTTAAAAATGTGATTTAAAAAGAGTCTTAAGCTTTTAAAGTCAAACTTAAAAATGTAGAAGACAATCATGTTAAGATAGGTGTAACATGGCATTCTTACCTCCCATGACACCTGAGCACATGCAGCAGATCTGCAGGCCACTTGAGGGGGCTTGCACTGATCTGGTGGTCCAGGTGCTGTAGTTACTTCACATTTTTCCGAGTAAGGTCCAAACTATTAAAAAAGGGAGTTGATACAACTAAATTGCAAGAATAAAATTACTACTTTTTAAAAACTTTACCATAGTAGGGACATATAATAGCAGCCTGAAGCTCTGTATTACTTGCTTATGAAATAAATCTTTGTGGACTGTGGATTCAGGATTTACTTCAGTATCTGACTATTCTCCAGAATAGCTGCAAGACTCTTCTCTACAGGAAATGCAATCAGAATAAATTTGACACTTCAAACTCTCAGGCAAAATAGGAAAATGCTATCCAAATCCTCACTTTGAAGTTACATGATGGCTGCACTGTAACATAACACAATTTGTAACTGCCTATTTATATCGATCTAAAAGAAAGAAAAGATTCAAAAATGCTTGAGCTATAAACCCCTCTTTGCAGTGGATGGATAAAAAGTTAGGTCAGTGCTTTAACATCTTAAGCTGCAGAGCTCTCCACAAACAGTGTCAACTGGTCCTGATTTTTTTAAGAACTTCATTGAACAAATGCAAGCAGTCCTGCCTCTCTGTCTTTAAATCAGGACTTTGGATACATAATTAAATAAAGCTTGTTCTACAGCAACAATTGATTTAAACACACTTAATACTCCAAACAGAGAAAATAGTCTTGTATCTGATAGAACAAGTACTCAGAAGTTAAACTAAATATTAAAAAGAGAGTCAGGAAACGCTAATTATTATGTTCTAGAACACCAAGAGCTGTAAAAATAAAGGTTAATCAATTTACAAAGCTTTTTACAGAAAATAATTTACTACCTTACTTCACATGAGAATATTAAAGTTGCAACAATGCTTTGATAAAGTACTTAGCATTTCCTAACCACTTCCCAATGCTACCATTCAGATATGACATAATTAGTTACTTTCTCTTCCCTTCATCTAAAACCCCCTTCATTATAAACTCATGTTTAACTGTCTGTTCCCACACAACAATAAGCTATGTGAATCAAATGACTCTACATTAGGAAATCCTCATTTTAAAATTACTGTTAAATGCTTTTTCTAAAAGAGAAGATCCTTAACAGCGATCGCAATCTCTGGAACTAATTTCATTTCAGACTGTCTCCTTACCCCAGCCTTGTTAGCTGCTCGCAATCTGAAGCTGTACGTCCTCCCTGGAAGAAGGCTGCCTACTGTACATTCAACATCAGAGCCTTGGTAAACCTCTCTGTGTTCATCGGTTTCTGTCTGACACATTTCCAGACCGTAACAGGTAATGGGTGAACCACCATCTACCTGAGGTGGTCCTAAAAATAAGAAAGAAAGAAAAGCTTATTTAAACATATAACACATTTGGATCCCTTACACTGACTAACAGTTGTAACAGAATTACCCCAGCGCAGCTGAATTTCTCTTGCTCTTGGTCTACCCTGTAGCCTCGGAGGCTGGCATGGACCAGGAACCACTGCTGGTGTCTGCACCAGTAAAGAATCAGATGCCTACAAAGGGAAGATAGATTAATGAAGTCATCTAGGCCAAAAGAAGCATATCAAATATGCCACAAGTAAAGGCAAATACTTGAATCAGAAACAGGACCTTCCATTTTTTGAAATGCATCTTCAAATACATGAAGGTGCCTAAGTGATCCTGTATGCATTTCTTGTAATACCTATATAAAAGATGCTACAGTGATCATACAATATGCAAAATTAACTTTTGCTCTTGTGTTTTGGTACACATGCAAGGGGTAGAATTGAAAACGGTGGCTAATTATCAGTACAAACCTAGTATAGATGCTTGAAATAAAACTTGTTCAATGTAAACTCATTCTCTTTTCCATCAAACTGCAGTTTAGTGATTTCTAAAACCTTACTCTAAGGGTTGTATACTTTCTGTGCAAGAATCTCTCAAAAAGCAAAAACGGGCAGGAATGTCAACCAGAAGAGATTAAAAAAAATTGAGATTCCACATTACTTAGTAATACTTAATGTGCAACAAACTTCCACCTCTGATTTGAAGTGCGTACAAAAATATACAGCATAACAACATGCAGCAGATGGCACTGACTATTCTGCATGCAGACAGAAATGAGTCAGAGACAATGCGGAGTTACTAGCTTCAGTGAGATACAGAACAAATACTAAGTTGGTAAGCCTTTTAGTTTACAAAAGAGAGGCATCTTAGAGTCTCATTTCACAACTGCTTTCTACATATATTCCAGAAAGAGTGGATTGGAAGCTCTGCTGCTTTTCAGTTCCTTTGAAATGTATTGTTGCACTGAACAACTGATGCTACTTAAAAAGCAGACTGTTTCTCAGGTGGCATATGTCCATGGCAAGCTACAGGAAAGTTTAATTACATCTTTCTTTACTATTCTTCTGTTGATTTCTGACACTTTCAGAAAGTATGAGGACTTTCTGAAAGTTATTTTCTAATGGGGTTGGACAGTGGGGAAAGATGTTGGCAGAGCAAAAGTCTCCAAAGACATACATGCACTTGTGGTCAGGTGACTGGGAAGTATTCTGCCTTCCCCCTTTTGCTGTACAACAGCAAGCTGAGCTATGGTGAGAGGGAAAGCACTGCAGCTGAGCCAGCACTGAAGGAGTCCAGATCTATTCTTAAGACAAGGTGGCTGTGAGCAAGGCTATCTCTCTGCAGGAGACTTCTACATGGAGGAAGAACACATGAATTTCATATAGTAAAAGGGGGCTGGGGAAAAAATGGCAAACACCAACAATGCAAGGCTTAAAAATTTTCAGGAGATCTGCTTGACAGTGAAGCCCTGCTGGAAGTCTGTAGAGAGCCAGGGCTGGCTTTGTTACACTTGCTGCTGGGAAGAAGGGAGAAGAATATAGCATGACATTTTGGCATTGGGGACTGAACTGCACCAGAGAAGTGATAGTAATGTGTAATGTAATGCAATGACAGTAACGTAATGTGTCTATATGAGGGAGCATTGTACAGCACCAAATTGTTTGGGAATACTGAAAAGCAGGGTACTGTAAACATTTTGATTGTGGCTGAGACAGCATGGGAAGAGACTATGGAGCAGAACCCTGTAAAGCCTGAGGACGCTCTGTCCTCCCCTGCTTGCTGGGCTGACTTGGCTGATCAGACAGGGTACTCCACTGACCACAAGAAAAACATTAAATTTACACTGCTGTCTTGGGTTAGGCCTTAAGAAATTACATTCTATCAACGTATCACAGAGGAGAACAACATAGTATCTGTTTCTGTAAATAAGAAAAATCACTTTAAACAAAATAGGGTATCAGGAAAGAATATTCACATTTATTTCTTTAAGAAATGGGCAGAAACTTGAAACACTGTGCACCAATACTGGAATTTTTTTGAGGTACTAATTAAGGCTATTTTGTTAGGCACTTCTGCACAATATTTGCCTATTAACTACTGGACCAGATTTTCTTAAAGAGAGAGAAATTTATTAAAAATAGTAGCTTATATTACCGTGCTTTGTCCTCCTTCCCCAACGCAATATACACGTAACCGATAGGAACAGCCAGGATTTAGTCGGTCACACACATGTTCCCTTGCAGCTCCACTGTATATTGTGTCCCATTTGTTTCCTGAAAGGTTAGGAGTAAGTGTGCAATGAACCAAGGTGTAATTTGCCACACTTCAGTACCAGCCACAGCAGGTATCTTAGCTTCACTAAATAGGTATGTGCCTGATGTTTATTTAAAAAATTTAAGGCTTGCTTTGAGTTTCCTGGAAGAAGATCCCATCATTTCATAAAGATAGTTTCCTAGGTAAATTTGTGTAGATGTGCTGAAGTAACATATCTTCCTTATTTGGTATTCACAAGAACTAGGAGAGAATTTACTTTTAATGAAATAGTTATTACTGGGCCAGCAAGTACATTCAAACATCATAACCAAATAAACAAGAAAGATACAAAAGCAAAATTTTCCATGGAAAAGAAACTTTTAATTACAACATTCATTTTGCAGACTGTAACTACAGTTTACAATCGATAAAGCTTGTTCCTGTACTCCTGAATGGCCCAGCACCATCTGAAAAACTGATTTCATTCTTTGCTATTCAGCCAGATTCTTAAATCAAAAACTTTGCATTCTCTCTCTCTTTTTAAGAGATTAAGCAGGGAACCTGGAGACTTTTAATTGTATCTCCAACAACTCAATACATCACAGAATTTAGAGGACTGGGAATGAAACGTAATGTACAGCTCACTATATCTGCATGAAAGGCTTGGTAAATCATTCCAAAAGTGACTTGATGTGGACATGTGATGGAATAAGGAAAGAGACAGACTAAATACCAAAAGAATCACACCTGAGACCCCTGACAGAGCTACCATTACAATTTGGGGACAGTGCACTGTCTTAATCTGACACAGCACTGCAGAAGTATAAACTTCCATTCTCCATGTGACTGTGCTTCTGAATTTAATGAGGTTACTTAAAAGGTCTAGATTTTTAAATAATTTAGTTGGATAGCTTTATGTCCACTTTAAAAATATTGTTAATTTCCCTTCTGGATGAAAGGACAGAAAAGCAAATAACAGAAACAATTACCCCAATTGCATCACTGTTCTCCTTAATAGTGATAAATGGAGCACTAGTTTTTCTTTCATCTGTCACATACTCAACAAAGCTACGTGGCCCTGTCCTCTTGTTCTAAAATGTCTGAAATGTGTAATTTCATTTCCAAAACGGAATACACCTAAATAATAAGTTAAACACAGAGCACCTCTTTTGACACAGAGTCTTGCGGCACCTTCTTTCTAGGCCAGAGAAAAAGACCCTCTTGCTATAAGCATCAACATCCTGATTTTCTAATGGCAGTCCCTTGCAATAACTCTTCCTATCATAATACACATTTTACTCTTCCCACAGGCGCACATGAGCAGAAAAAAGAACCAACTGAATGCCAAGACATGCTCCTAATACTTACCATTTAAGCCCTCAGACATTTCCACAACATATGTATTTATTGCTGCTCCTCCATTGTCTTTTGGCGGATCTATAAAAAACAGCAGTATTCCAACAAAGCGCGGTAAATTAAACGGTTTTGTAGCCTTTGGGGAAAATTCACAAAATTCTTATTCAGACAGATAGCATTCTGACTAGCAATAGCATTCTAGCTCAGGACAGCTGCAAATCACTCAAATTCTCCACTAGGTGAAGCTTCCAGCTCACAACCCTACCGCATACTCTACAGATGAAGTGAATTGGGCACCTGGGAGATGCCACAGCAAACGTTTCAGTTAGTCTGAAGTGTCGTGGAAGGTTGCCAGATTATGGTTTCAGGGACACAGAACCTAATGGTCTTGTAATTTGGACTGCAGATAGGAAAAGATTATCATACTGATTTGCATATAAGAGTATTTCAAAATAATTTAAGGACAGGATTTCAAAAACCTAAATATTTTGGGAGAGAACAGAACTCAGGAGGTCTACACTGAAAACCTAATCTCTTAAATTTTAAATACATCCCTAAAAATAGAGTGCACTATCCTCCCTAGTACAATATTCAGGTACAAGGTATGAACCTACAGACCTATCTTTGACATATAATCCTACTACTCTTTCTCAGAGCTGACTTAGAGAACAGCAGAAATAAAATAATGCAGAAAAACAACATTTTGGACAAAGACAGCATGATACTTCAACACAGAAGAGTACTGTTGCTGTAACATTACATGTATATGCTGGACGAAATAGCGTTGCTCTTAGGCAACGGTTACATATCATATCACACCTGCTAAATAAAATGAGACTTATTATATGGCACATAGCACTTTTTGGTTGGAAGGTAATAAATTACTCCAGATGAAAAATAAAATTATCACATTAATTATCACTTATTAAAAACCCCAGAGTATTACTGTTCAAAATAATGACTACTAAAGGTTTTATATATAAAGAGATATTTTAGATAGTTTTAGATTTACGAATTAGGTATTTCTAGTAACTTCATACATTATGTATCATCCATAAAAGATCAAGTATCAGGCCCTGATACTCTGGAAAGATACAAGACTGGACTTGCTGATTACTACTTCTATTCTGCAAATAACTGTCTTATTATTAATACAAAAGAATTAAACACACTACTAAACAGAAATAGGTAAGAAGTTTCATTACCTGTGACAATAAATAAAACCTTTAACTGTTTCATTTTCTACTAAAGCACTGCATCACACAGTACTGTTTCACCTTCTATTTCACAGCTTAAGGCTAAAAAACTGAGCCTAAGGAAAAGTTTCTCAAGATCCTTAGCGAATAAAAACATTTATCTATCAAAACCAAACACTTTGAAGAGAAAGGCTGAACTTGGATCTTCTCTTTTGATAAAAACCCAGAATTTCGTGGCATCTACTTTTTGTGCCAGAGAAACAGTAATTCTTAATACACAAATTAACACTACTGGTTTTTCAGTTATTGCAGTTAACAGTCCCTATTACAATTTGTAAATTATTCTTCCAATATAATTACACCATTATACTGCCACCCTAAGTATTCTGAATCAGTGTTTTTCTCTTAGTTCCATGAAAGTGGATCATAATGGCTCCGCTGACTGAAGTGTTTCTGAAGTAAAACCTGGCCTTCTATATACAAATATATATAAAAAACATTTTATATCTATTTAAAATACAGAGGATATAGTCTAAACAGAGCTTGACAACAATCTTACCCCAGATTATTTTAAAACTCTGTGCATGAATTTTTCCTTTCACTGTGGGTTTTGAAGGTACTCCAGGCTTGTCTGGACAGGTCATGTACTCTACTGTCTCGCTTGGACTGCTTTTCCCTTCTGAGTTATAGGCAATGACCTGCAAATATATAAAAAATATTATAAACAGAACAAACTCATTGGCTAGTGGTATGCTAGTCACTGTTAATGGTAGGATCAAATTAATTTATATGCATGCTTAGACAGATAGCTATACAATAGATTATCACAAGAAGTAAACCTATTATATACCTTCATTTTACATTTTCATTAGTCCCATAGTCAGACAATCACTATACTGAAATTAAGAATTCCTGCAAATTGCCAGCAAAAAAAAATCCTTAAAAACCCCCCAACCTAGTAATTGTGAAGCTGAAAAAAAAATAACTTTCTATAGCCCCCAAATTTCAAATGTTGGTGCATAAAGTTTGGCTCCTACTTAGGACACTTCAGAGTTGCCTGACTGTAAAAGGTAATCAGGACATGCAAATCTCAGTGACATTAATGGAATCTGTGGGGACTCAATATAGCACAAGCCACTTCATTTCAAGTCAAGGATCCAAAAACTTGTTTTTTTAAAACCACCTAAGATACTGAGAAATTAGACTGGTCTAAGAACCACTCTTTTTTATTGGAGTTGCACAATTTATTGATAACGAAATATATGGATGAGAAAAAAACTTTGTAAAAGCATGGAAACAAAAGATGATGAAAAAGACATACTGCAAAGAGGCCACTTTTAAACTTTCACTGAAGGAACTCGGAAGTATTAAAACTTTAATTTTCAATTCCCTTCCCATTGAGGTAAAAATATTCTCATGTAATTAAGAGCAAAAAGTGATGCTTTAGTAACTGCTAAAGAAACCTGAATAATTGGGACGAATTAAGTAGAGCGTTCATGCTACTGTAGTACTTTCTTCTAAGGAAGTACATTCAGAGATTAAAAAAGTGTTTATATAATTAAGTTGTATTAACGACAGCAAAGATGATATAAACTCTTAAATCCCAGGTAAAATGATGGCAAAAGTTGTCATGGCAATTATTTACAGGCACATGAAGGACAAGAAAGTAATGAGATTTACGAAGGGTAAATCATGTTTGACCAACCTGAGTGCCTTCTATGATGAAACAACTTGCTTAATAGATGAGGACAGGGCTGTCAACATCACCTAACCTGACTTTAGTTTGACACGGTCTCCCACAACATCCATGTAGACAATCTAGTAAGATACAGACAGAACAGATGGACCACAAGATGGGTCTGGAAAACCTGACAGAATGCCAGGCTCAAAGGGTGGTGGTTAATGGTTTGAAGGCAAATGAGCAGATGGTCATGAGTAGATTTCCTCAGCAGTCAATGCAATGTCAGATACTATTCAGTATCTTTAGAAGTGATCTGGATGACAGGAGTGAATGCACCCTCCCTAGGTTTACACATGACACCAAACTAGGAGCAGAGACACACATGCTGGAAGAGCCACCATACAGACTTTGACAGGCTGGAAGACTGCATCAAGAAGAACTGTATAAGCTTTGACAAAGATAATATAAATTCTTGCACCGGGGATGGAATAATCCCAGCAGCAGTACAGTCTGGGGTCTGACTGGCTAGTCAGCTTTTCTTTTTTCCAGCTCTGCTGAGAAGGACCTTGGGATTCTGGTGGAGAGCCAGCCAAACGAATCAGCAAAGTATCCTGGCAGTAGCAAAGGCAAATTGTTTCAATGGCTGCATCAGCAAGAATTTAGCCAGCAGAACAAGGGATACGATTATGCCACTTTACTTAGCACTTTTTAAGCCACACCTGTTCAATTTTGGTCCTCCCAGTTCAAGAGAGACACTGGGAAACTGGAGAGAGTCCAGAAGAGGGGCAGCATGATTATTAAAACGTTGGAGAACCTGACACAGGAAAAAAGGCTGAAGAACTTGGGTTTATTCTGTCTAAGAAAAAAGAAGTTTCATTGGGGAGGTTCTAATCACAGCCTTCCACACTTAACACGTAGTTACAGAAGATACGAAGACACAATCTTCACAAGGATCTGTGATGACAGGACAAGAGACAGTATGCACAAAGTACGTTAGGGAAAATTCTAGCTGGATATAAGAAATGAAATTAATCATCGTGAGAACAGGCTGCCCAGAGAAGTGGTCAAATCTCCCTTGCTGGAAATACTGAAGTCTCAGCTCAACAGGGCTAGGACAGGGCTGAATTGCCTAATCTAAGGCCCTGCTTTCTACAAAAGTTTGACCCAGATGATGCTCAAAAGTCCTTTCCAACCTAGACTTTCCTGTGATTCTAGGAAAACAAATTGCTGCTATTCTTTACTTCCTAGCTGGAGTTAGTTTACTACATATTGCCATTTGTTCCTAGCAAAATGCTAAACAGCCTAAAAAAAGGGGTTTTGGTTTTTATATATTTTAAATATGAGCAGAATTGAAATGACAGCAGTAATGTTAGTTCAGATTGAGAAAAGGAAATGTGAGCTAACATGTCTCTCAGACATTAAGTCTCCTGATACACTTTACAAGATTAACAATCATCTGGTTGTCTCTGTGCCCTTACAAATGAAGTTAAACAGGTACGGTTAGCATTTACATATTATAATAAGGTTTCCAATTGTTATAAAGCTTCTTTCAAAAGCCTTAAGGAATATTACTACTAATTAAGTCTCTCCCCTGTATAATAAAAATTAAAGACCTGATTAACACAACATTTGTTTCTCCTTTATGCTCTGTGAATGAGTGAACAGAGACTTCTGTTTACTGTTTTGTTAATAAAAACAGGGTATAACCATTGATTTTTTTATTTTAATGAGAAACTTAGGATGTTTACGTTAACTATATATTTACTAGCAATACAAATGATTAACATGTAGGATTACTTTCAAAGAAAGATTATGACCAAGTCCTGCAAAAGCTAGTGTCAAGTTAATTAGCTGTTCTTTAGTTTAAGTTCATGTGTGGCCATAACAGTCCTAGCTTGGTACAGTCCTTGGAATACACTATGTATTTTTAAATATTTAAATATTAAGTTATGTAAAAAACCAAAACCACAAGTACTGTAAAATTAATCCCCATCATAACCTTTTCTGCTTAAGAAAGTAATCATATTCAGAAGTACAAAATACCTGCTATCATTTGGAAAGAAGTACTTATACGTTTTAGTGTTAATTCAAAACAAACCAAACAACCCTTAAACTGCTACCTTTCATATTGCAAAGAGATGACGTTTTTCAGTAGTTCCCAATTCTTCCTTATGAAATAGTATTTTAGGTGTACACAAGGCAACAGCTATCAACACTTTTTCCCTTGTAGACAGAGATGAGATTATTCTGACTCTACTTCATACTGTGGGATGTGTCTTTAGCTTTGTTCCAAAAACCAAGCAACTGCTCAAGAGGGACTTAGAACACAGAATGGCCCAGGTTGGAAGGGACCTAGAAAGACCATCTGGTCCAACCTTTCAGGAAAAAGCGAGCCTAGATGAGATTATCTAGCACCCTGTCTAGCTGTGTCTTGAAAGCATCCAGTGATGGGGACTCCGCCACGTCCCTGGGCAGGTTGTTCCAGTGACTGTTCTCACTGTGAAAAAAGTTTCTTATACCAAGATGAAACCTCAGTGCAACTTGCACCTATAGCCCCTTGTCCTCTCCACGTGGCTCCTTGTGAAGAGAGCGCCTCCCTCCTCTTTGTAGCTGTCATTTAAGTACTGGAAAACTGTGATGAGGTCTCCCTGAGCCTTCTCTTCTCTAGGTGGAAAAGATCAAATTCCTTCAATCTTTCCTTATAGGGCAGGTTCTCCTAGTTCTTTGATCATCTTTGTGGCCCTCCTTTGGACCCTCTCCAGTTTGTCTGTCTTTTTTGATTTGTGGGGATCAGAACTGGACACAGTACTCCAGGTGTGGCCTGACAAGAGCTGAATACAGTGGGACAATCACATCTCTTATCTCTGCTAGTAATGCCGCTGAGGATGCAGCCCAGGATCCAATTCACCTTTGTTGCTGCAGCGTTGCACTGCTCATAGTCAGTTTGTCCACCAGGATCCTCAGGTCCCTTTCAGCAAGGCTGGTCCCAGCCTATACTGGGCTCCTTGCTTACTGTGATCCAGCTGCAGGACTCAGCATGTCTTTGTTACACTTCACACTCCTCTTGCTAGCCCATCCCTCTAGCCTGTCAAGGTCTCTCTGTAAGATTGCTCTCCTTTCCGATGTGTTCATCTCACCACTCAATTCGGTGTCACCAGCAAACTTGGTGGCAATGCTTTCAATCCCACTGTCTAGATCGTTCGTGAAGATGAAAAGCATGTGGCCCCATATTGATCCCTAGGGGATCCTACTTCTGACAGGCTGCCAGCCTGAGTAAAAACCATTGATCACCACCCTCTGAGTGTGGCCTGTTGGCCAGTTTCCTACTCATTTCCCAGATCACCCATCCAGTCTGTATCTTGTCAGTTTATCCAGGAGAAGGCTGGTGGAAACAGTGTCAAATCCTTTGCTGAAGTCCAGGTAAACAACATCCACTGCTCTCCCCAGGCCAAGTGAAAGTGTTACCTTGATGTAGAAGGTAATGATTTGCCTTTGGCGTAGGCTTTTCCCAATCACTTGCTTCATTTGGCCTGTAACAGTTTCTAGGAGGACTCTTCCATTACTTTGCCAAGGACTGAAGAAAGACTAATGGGCCTGTAGTTCCCCAGGTCCTCTTTTGAGCCCTTCTTGTACAAGGGTATGACATTTGCCCTCTTCCAGTCGTTAGTGATATCCCCTGATCTCCATCACTTTCCAAATATTATAGATAGTGGCCTCTCAACAATGTCAGCCACTTCTCTTAGTATCCTGGAGTGGATTCTGTCCTAGCCCATAGACTGATGTGGGTTGAGCTCTTACAAGAGGCTACAGCTGCCCAGCCCTTCCTCCACCACTGGTGGGTCCACACATGCCTTGTCACAGGTACTTGATCCTGTGATCTGATGTCCAGCTATACCAGTAAAGACAGAGGCAAAGAAAGCATGGAGAACGTCTGCCTTATTGGCATTATTAGGAACTTGCTTCCTGCTCTGTTTAGCAACGTGCTATGGTGCTTCTGCTTCCTGGTGCTTCTGCTTACTGCTCACGTATCTGAAGAACCTTTTCTTGTTGTTCTTGACATCTTTGGCCAACTTCTGTTCTAGCTGATCCTCAGCCTTCCTGACTGCACTTCTGCATGTCCTAGCAAGGTTCTTGTAGTCCTCGATGGCTATTTGGCCACCTTTCGATAGCCGGTATGTTTCTTTTTCGCTTTTAACCGCACCCAAAAGCTCATTGTTAAGCCATTGTTAAGCCAGACTTCATATCAGCTAACAAGTTCAGTGCTCAAGACTTATCAGAATGGCCTCAGCACCATGGTAATATGAATAATTTACTAACTTGGGCTCAGTGCTACACTAGCACTGACAAATGTTTTTTGATCAAAGACGGTCCTTACCCCAGCACTTTCAGGACATGTTTAGTGTCTAACAAAGAACTCCAAAGCTACACTAAGTAATATTACCCATGTATATGCAACATAGAAGCCAAATAAAAAACCCCAACTGTTAAGAACATTGAGTTATGACCTGGAATTTCAAGATACCTGCAACTGTGTTATGCCCTTGCAGCGGTTCTTATTCCTTCTGCACAGTCAATTAACGAAGTCGGTGTTCAGCTGATAGTTTTAAGAGACTGAAACTGTAAGAAACTGGCAACTAATTTAGTTTTCCTTAAAAAAGGCCCTCCTCAGTTCTGAGTCAATCTCAAGCTACTCTGGTGCAAAAAAAAACCCAAATATATGAAAAAATCTTACCCTAAATTTGTATTTTGTACTACGCCTCAAATTCTTCACTGTGTAGGTAAGATCGTCACCATCATATTTTGGCTTGAAACCATATCCCTGCAGAATTAAACAGGATTACTTGAAACATTGTATTTGCAGACCAGACCATTTAACACACTTCATACAAATAAATTACTATTTCAGACTGTAATTGCTATGCTCCTCTGACGAAGCAGTAAGTGCACCTTCATTGTGTAAACACAACATTTTTTTTTGGAGCAGGGGAAATTAATTAACCATTCTCCAATCAGAAGAGGAGAAAATAACAGTAAAGAAAAATATATACAGTGTAAACAGAAATTATACCTAACACTTTCAAAGGGCAGAACAGGACTTATTTTAAAAAAAAGGTGGTTAGGCTGAAATGACATCTAGAGGGACCACACTTCATGATACAATTACTTTCATCCAGCTCTTGTAAGGCTTAACTTTCACATGCAAATTCACAACGTTAAAAGTAATTTCAAAGTCTTTGCACGACTGGGGCTTCATAACACTAATAATGATTACTGTCACAATAAAAAGGAGAAAGCTATGTGGCCTGGTCACAGCAATGACAAGTCGTTAGCTTTATTTCAGAAAACACAGTTCCTTGTAGGATATTCTAGCAAAAATAATCATTGTTACACTTCATACAATAATGTATCAAACACACACATTATAGTCTCTTTTCTTATTGAGAATAAGTATTCTAAACTTACTGAGTTCTCATCCTCCATCTCTAATATATACGAGATTCCTTCATCTGATGGTGTTCCTGAGGGTTTTGTCCACTGTAGGGATAACCAAGTAACTCCAGCATTAATCAGCAAAGGACTTGCTGGTGTGGTTGGGGCAGTGCCTGAGGTATGATACAGGACTTCTTCACTAAAACCACTGTTTAAAACAGACAGTATGTAAACTAACTAGACACAATAATTAATAGCTCGAAAAACGTAATTCTTACTAAACACAGCTATCACAGTTTCTTGGACTTGTGCACAAGTGGAAATGGCAAGCTGTACATGCAGACCACTTAACTTGCCCACAAGTCTGTCAGTAAGAAAACATCTGAACAAGGTTAGCATGTTCATAATTGAAAGATTCTTTGTATGATACAATTACACTGTTTTGCTAACCAAAATATTTTGCTTTTTCATATTAAGTCATTATTCTAAAACAGCAGAGCTCTGTATGCAATAATGTACTGATACTACAGTGTTCTTCCTATTCAAAATGAAAACATGAAGATATAAAAGCATATGTGGGAAGATCTTGAAAAAAATGTTGCTTCCCAGGTAGCAACTATGTGCTTCAAGTATACTGTGAGTACTAGTTTCTCTAGTGATTCAGAAAATAATAGAGTAATAGCCTCATTCAATGTTAAGTTACTTAAGAGTTGCCAATATGAAAGTCTTACTGCAGAACAAACAAAACAGAGTGTACACCAGTTAATCTCCTAACACAACTGTCAACCTTATCTGATGACGCTTAGATAGGCATTGAAGTGAACATACAAGTAAGATACATAAAAAGACCTATTGTGAAACAGAGGGATGCAAAAGTCAGTGAATGGGTACTATGCTTGCACAGATGGTCTGATGTAATCGGTTAGACTAAAAAACTCCACCTGTTCTCAGCTGGCATTTGCTGCTTCTGCATCAGATCTGAAGAAACATTTACAGGCTGAAAAGCTAGTCTAGTTTTTTTAACCATATGAAACAAACACCAAAGATGTAATTTTAACGCTACCTAAGTGAGCAGCAGGAAGCCCGGAAAAAAAAATTCTACGTGTGGCTTAAAAACCAGTACCAGTTAATATCTCGTGTGTCAGAATATGACTTTCCTGAAAAATCTTAATATAAAGATACCTCAACTTCACTTTCTCTCTTACCCAACGTACATTATAACAACGCACACGTCGTAAATTTTGGTCTGCTCTAAAGTCTTTTCGGCATTAAAAATAGTAATAATAATAATAAAAAAATCTTACAGACAACACATTATCAGGAGTGTCGATAGCACCCAAAACAGACATACAGTCTGTGTGGACATGCAGATTGTGAAATACATTGTGAAGCAACGAGTAAAAAAGTGCAGAACAAGAGAAAACTTTTTAATTTTGGGGGGGAATAGTAATTTTTTTCTTGCAAAAAGTCACAAGCAAGAAAATCTCTGAAATGAAGATGTGATACATACTATCTACTAAAAAAAATTTCAGCATTATATAGGTAGGCTAGAGAAAGCATGAAGAGTGGCTAGACAAATACTAAGCCTATCTCTATTCACAACAAACTACTGACAGAGTCACCTTACAAGTAGATATAAGGTAAAACCCCCCCACATCTTCAAAAGATTTAATCTTTTTACTTGATTGAACCACTCCAAAATACACTGAAATCAACTAAAAGAGTTCCAGTGACACCCACATTTGAATGACTCTTAAACAATTCACTTGGAAGTACAATAATGCCATCTACCTTTTAAATAGATTTTATTTTTCCAGTTTTCTTTAGCGACTGTTTCATGTGTGGTTAGAATTAAATGTAAAAATATAAGTAACTCAAAGATAAAATATCTATTCTTGTTGGTAAAATCATTTAGACAAAATTCTGTCTCCAGATGCCTAACGTTTTCAACATTCTTCATAACGATTAATCAGGCACTACCTTAATAAACCATTAAGGTAAGAGACTTCTTAATTAAATAATACCTTAAAGACAATAAAGTGCATCTTTACAAGGCTATGAAATACTGATTTAAAAATCTATTTGGCGTGATTCGTTTAAGAAGTGTACTTTAACTGATCAGTGTCTTCTACCAGCTTAAGCTGCAGGAATCTGTAATACGTGCAGGTATTCCTAGAGGGTACATTACACTCAGACATAAAAAGGGAACAGGAAGAGATCCCACGCACTGGACTCTGCCTAACTGCCAGCTCCTTCCCTTTCCTGTCTTTATTTTTTTGAACAGTTCCAACTAAATCTCATCAAGACAAAGTCCAGGAGCAACTCAGAATGATTCATTCCAGAAACATCATGCAGAAGGCAGTAACTTAATAAAAGACTGTGTTGGAGCACACTGAAAGTCATTCTAGCCCACTATAGTGTCCTCTGACAGTGGCCCAAAGCAGGTGCCTAAGGAAAGACATAGGAACAGGCACTATAAGCAATACATTCCCCAAGTACTCTCCAGAGCCCCCCAAGACACGCCTCAGATCTCCTGAGCCAGCTGTAGTTTTCACGTACTTAATAGTCTGCAGAAGATTTCTTCTGCCCAGCCTGAAGTACAACCCCAGGTCTGTCTCCCTGTTCTTCACGCTGTCCTTCACCATTGTCCAAGCAGGCATCGTTCCCTCAAGCACCTCCTTGTGCCAGCTGAAGGACACACATCCTCTATTTCATGCTATAAAAATACCACTCTGGTGAGCTGCAGCATAATGCTCATAATATTTCAAACAATGAATTAAAAATACAAACGCAAAATAGCAATTTTAGGCTGATGGCTAGAGAAGCCTTATGTTTTCATGCCACATAGGACCTCGAGGTCCAAGTGCTACTAGGTAGTGTGGACACTGGCAGTCTGCTCTAGAGATGATGAGCCCTGGTAATGTGACTACTAGCCAGGTTTATTTGTTTTGCCTGAAGACCAAGAAGCATTCCCAAGAACTAACACACTCAGCAGGGCAAGCATAACTTGAGAAACCAGTAATTTTGTTTTTTTTTTTTTTTTGTCAAGTTCTTCCTTATATTCTCTACTGAATTCAGCTATTATTCATTCAAAAACTCAAAACAAGTTTGGTGCTCTATAATTCTGAAAAGTAGCAATTAAAAGTAAGAACCACATATCCTAAGCATTCATAATAAGCTCTAGAACTTCAAAAGAATGCAGTGATATGGTAGTGTCATATTCTGTCCATTTCCCAGGGTAAGAGGAGACTAACAGACACCTTAGATAAAGGGAGACATATCTAAGTAACGGGACGTGGCAAAGAGCACAACACAGATATACCCACAAGTGGCAGTGGGGTTCCACCAGACTTACTGCCTGCTCCAGCAGAGTTACTGCACCTCTTATACTGTCATCACTACAACTCTAAATTCAAGGAGGGATGATAAGCCCTGAAAAATTGCTACACCAGCTTCAGGAACTAACCTTAGATCTAGCACCATGTCAAACCTCCCTGGAACCAAAAGCAGCAGAGAGCATGGTACGAGGCACCCTCTGGTCAGCACAGCAACAGCACAAGCACTGCAGCATTTAAACTATTCAATTCCGGCCCTTTGGCTGAGTTGCTTGTCTTTTAGCAGGATCCTCAGAATTTTAGCAGAAGTGCTTATTACATCAGACACAGAAGCCACAATTGCACTGAATGTGTGAGTCTCTACAATGTAGTGCCTAGCCAAACTCCAGTGGTTAACTTAGTTCTACAAAGACTGAGGCTGAAAACCAGCACAGCCTGAGCTGATTTCACATGAGAGCAGTCGGGTTGTCCGTGCCATGCTCATGCTCCCCATTCTAGGGGCATGTACAACATCTGAGGTGGCTGTTCAGGGAATGAGGCTAAGTCTGGCAGAAGTAGCTGTACTATCTGCTTCTCAGTGGGACTGAGACTTGTAGCATTTATATGGTAAGTATGCACATATGTAGTGGTTGTAACATGTAGCCATACCACGCCTGGACAAAATCTGTTATGCTGGGAATCACAGAATAGCTGAGGTTGGAAGGGATCTCTGGAGGTCATCTTGTCCAACCTTCCCTGCTCAAGTAGGGTCAAGTGGTTCATTGTACACATGTAACCTGCGTACAGATTACATACAGATTACAAATTCTGTGTACATAGTACACAAATAATCCAATCAGACACTGTGAATTAACTACGCAGTTGGACTAGATGATCCTTGCAGGTCCCTTCCAACTGAATTATTCCATATTCCATATTCCATTTCATTCCAGTTGGACAAAAGACTTTTTTCTTTAAATGCCATTGTATGTTTTTCGTAAACAAGCACACACATGCATATGCATTCCATATTTATGTATATAATAGTAGTGTTTACCTCATTCCCATGTCATTTTTGGCTGCTAGCCTAAAGGTGTACCCCATTGCTGGTGACAGTTTAGTAATCCTATACTGTTTCTGTTGGCCATAATAACACTGGCAAAACTCTCCATTTCCTTTTCCCTAAAAAAGAATAAGTTAATCACATTATTCAGCCTATTATATATGCATCCATCAATTAAAGCAACACACAAATGTGAGGTCAACTCATTTTTTGAAATGAAACATAACTCAAGAATCTCCCATATAGTGAGGCAGTAGTATATGAAACTTTGTACATATGTTGAATTAGAGGCTTTTTTTTCTTCCTTTCCATTTCCCAGCTCCACAGGTTGGAACGAAAAAGCCATAAAGCGTCTGCAGCTCTGCCATTGCAGGATATCTGTCCAGACAGGAACTGGAAGACGCTTGTGGGGGCATAGTAGATCCACCCTCTTTGTACCAAAGAAAGACTGTTACAGGAAAACGATCCTTCAGTGCCAGCTCTTGAAAGAAGTATTGGACTACAAGTGAAAAAGCCACTATTAAGAGTGACAGAATCATGTAATTAAGATCCTATTATTTTACATTCCCCAAGAAAAAAATTGGGCAGTAACTGTATTTTGATAATTGCTTCAGGAATTACATATTTGTCACATGCCTCTAGACAGAAGTCATAATTTTCACACAACCTGACGTGCACAGTCACATACAGCTACTTTAAAAACTACAAAATTAAAAATAAAATTGAGTAACTTGCTTACTTCATCCCATTCTAAAAGGTAACTGTGGATTTTAGAACCATTATCACAAGATGCCTGCAACAGGAAAAGAAGAAAATTAGAGCTCTAACTGGATACAAGACCATTTAAGGAAAAAATATGTGTATAGGTCAAATCACGACAAGACTGCTGGAGTGCAAATGATGCTCCCCTTACATGATTGTTTCACTTGCCAAGACAGTCCTATTTCAGCCTTCATCCAATGAATGCTTGTATCATGTTTCAGTTTTGTTTTTTAATTTAGACCTTGAAAAAGTATTCTGGCAGCAGTGTAAAATGCTACAGTATTTTTCTGAGCAGCTAGATTGCAGGTTTGCTGAAATCTGTCTTTCAAAATCACTTCATTTGCGTCGCACAGACAAGCCTAAGTTCAATGACAGAGAAAGGAATTGGTTCCACAGCACAGTAGGGGACTGGACCTCAGCAACTTCATCTACAAAAGCTCCTTGCTTTTCTGGGAATCCTTCTCTTTTTACTGCAGTCCACATTTAGCCCAGTACATCTATTTCCAGTCTTGGAACTGTGACTGAAATTAGTATGTTTGACAAAAATTTTCTATTTCAATGAACTGGTATTTTGTTGACAAATCCAAAACAATTCTGAAGAGTTTAAAATACTTATTTTAAAGGCTGTTAAGCAATTCTTACCTTCCACTGCAGAGTAAGAGAATTTTTGGTCCGATTAGTTATCCTGGGCAGATTTGGCGTATCAGGTTCACAACTCATTGTGGTAAAACTCTCTGCTTCTGAAGGGCTCCCCTTTACACAGCTGCATTCTACTTGGACTCTGAAGTGGAAAAAAGCCAATAACATTTTATTTCCAAAATCTGTATATACAGTTTCCAAAGAAAACTAAGTATTCAGAACTAAGTTACTGCCTTGCTACCTCATTATTAAAATATCACTGGTATAAACAAATAACTGGTGGAAGCATCTTGGTCAATAGAAATAATGAGAAAGAAGAGAGTCCTTTACTTTGGATGTGCATCATCACCATCAGTCAGCTTTAGTCTCACAATTACATATGAAATATATATTATTTGCTGTACTTTGGTTGGGAAATAATGGTAACATCTCGCAGGCCCATTATCTGTTGTAGACATATTAACTGGTATTATGAATAATTTTTCTTCTGCAAGTGCTTTCATCAGATGAGCACAATGAATTTTCAGAGTATCCTCTGCACTCCTTCAAGACCTTGCTGAGTCTGTTAACCCTGCCCTTTCCTTTAGGAAGGCTAGGAATTAACTCTCCATATACTTCAGAAGAGTGAATTCTTGTCTCAAAGAGAATTGGTTTCTTTTTTGAACAGTTTGTCTCCAAAAGGAAATACAGAATTAACTTCTGGCCTCCCCTTGACCCCCTAGCTGTGCAGCTATGCCTTGCCTCTTTCTGGGTGAATAGGCACATGACTTTCTTCTGATTCATCTGTTCCTTTGAAAGAAAAAAACAAAACCTCAAAACTCTCTTCCCTCTGATCACTGGTATAAGACCTGGGTTACCTGCTTATGAAGATGTGAAAGTCCTTATATATTCTTGTTACATGAACAGCGAGTCACAGGAAATTTGGCTTTACAGATTTCATGAACAGGGAGAGGGATACATTTGAACAGTGACTAATGTTGGACACAAAGTTGTTTGTGCTTGCATACAGTTGTAAATAAGTAATTTGTCAGTTATATTCATAGTTTAGTCTTTCTGGTCTTCAGTGATTTTGGGAAGTGTTCACACTAGCAGAATTCTGTTTAGGAAGAGCTTAGATGGCTAAGCCACCTATTCCCATGTATCATCTACAATGACCAGAATTAAGCAAGAAAGAATCTGAATGTAGCCTGATAAAAAAGGACTTACATAGGGAAAAAAAAAAGTCCTAAGCTCTGACCCTTATGCTCCACGTACTTTCAACTTAAACATCATTGGGTAAAGTGTATAAACGCTACTAAAAATAGGAAATAAATCACAGGTAAACACTTGCATATGAAAGAGCTTTGAGTCAACTCACCATTCATCCTTCTCCTGAACCTGTTCTGCAGGCCATATAGGGGCCCAAATTAAATGGTGGCTGTGATAAGAACAGATAAACCCTCTTTTGCTTCTGGTTTGGCAACCAGGACAATACCCTGCAAAACAGCACTAGGAGGTGTAGACCCCTTCACACTGAGGACCAGGAACGTAGCTCTCCCATTTGAGCAAATGCTAATCACAAGGCTATTATACAATGGAAATCCTGCTCTTCCCTACTGCTGACGTTCTAAAAGTCACGTGGAAAGAGGCACAACATTTCTGACTTGGATCCTTACTCAGACACACTTCTGTTCCCTGTCCTACCAACTGCCTCTAAATCGGTTCCCTGGTCAGTACACAAGGGTCTTGGGGTTCTCCACACAATCAAGAGAGGCAAATCCCTCACATGCTGGACATTCAGTCACTTCTAAGAAGGCACTCTCCACTTCTTTCTTGACAAGGCAGTACTTCCAAGGAGGCCTTCATTTCTGCCTTCACAATGTTACATATTTATAAACTGCTGTATTCTTACCATCTTTTTTTTCCAACCAAGAAACATAGACTAGTTTGGGTCAGAAGAGTCACCTAGTCCAATACCCTTGCAATGAGCAGGGACATCTTCAACTAGACCAGATTGCTCAGAGCGCTGTCCAGCCTGACCTTGAACACTTCCAGGGATGGTGCATCCACAACTTCTCTGGGCAACCTGTCCCAGTGCCTCACCACCCTCATCACAAAAAATTTCTTTCTTACATCCAGTCTAAACCTACCCTCTTTCAGTTTAAAACCATTACCCCTTGTCCTATTGCAACAGGCCCTACTAAAAATTCTTTCTGAAAAGCCAATTCTAGGTACTGAAAGGCTGCAACCAGGTCTCCCCAGAGCCTTCTCTTCTCCAGGCTGAACAACCCCAACTCTCTCAGCCTGTCTTCATAGCAGAGGTGCTCCAGTCCTCTGATCATCTTCATGGCCTCCTCTGGCTCTGACCTGAGACGGGTGTCCCTCTTGTGCTGAGGACCCCAGACCTGAAGGCAGTACTGCAGGGGGGTCTCACCAGAGTGGAGCAGAGGGGCAGAATCCCCTCCCTTGACCTGCTGGTCACGCCGCTTGTGATGCAGCCCAGGATCTTGCTGGTTTTCTGGGCTGCGAGTGCGCATTGCCAGCTCATGTTGAGCTTCTTGCCAACCAACATCCTCAAGTCCTTCTTGGCAGGGCTGCTCTCAATCTCGTCATCCTCCAGCCTATACTGATACCTGGGGTTGCCCTGACCCAGGTGCAGGACCTTGCACTTGGCCTTGTTGAACCTCATGAGGTTCACATGGGCCCACTTCTTGAGCTTGTCCAGGTCCCTCTGGACGGCATCTCGTCCCTCACGTATGTCAACTGCACTACTCAGCTTGGTGTCATCTGCAAACTTGCTGAGGGTGCACTCAATCCCACTATGTCATTGATGAAGTTATATAAACAGTACCGGTCCCAATATGGACCCCTGAGGGACACCACTTGTCACCGATCTCTATCTGGACACTAAGCGGTTGACCACTGCCCTCTGGATGCGACCATCCAACCAATTCCATATCCACCAAACACTCCATCCATCAAATCTGCATCTCTCCAATTTAGAGAGAAGGATGTTGTGGGGGACCATGTCAAAAGCCTTACAGAAGCCCAGATAAATGATATCTGTAGCTCTTCCCTTGTCCACTGATGTGGTCACTGCATCATAGAAGGCCACTAGGTTGGTCAGGCAAGACTTGCTCTTGGTGAAGCCATGCTGGCTGTCTCGAATCACCTCCCTGTCCTTCATGTGCCTTAGCAGAGCTTCTGGGAGGATCTGTTCCGTGATCTTCCTCGGCACAGAGGTGAGGCTGAGAGGTTGGAAGTTCCCAGGGTCCTCCTTTCTACCCTTTTAAAAAATGGGTGTGATGTTTCCCTTCTTCCACTCACCAGGGACTTCACCTGACTGCCATGACTTTTCAAACATCATGGAGAGTGGCTTGGCAACTACATCAGCCAACTGCCTCAGGATTCTGGGATGCATCTCATCAGGTTCCATAGACTTATGTACATTCAGGTTCCTCAGGTGGTCTCGAATCCGATCTTCTCTAACAGTAGGAGGGACTTTGCTCCCCCAGTCCCTGTCTTGTGGTCTATCCACTCAAGAGGTGTGGCAAGAGAGGTTGCCAGTGAAGACTGAGGCAGAAAAGTTCCTGAGTACCTCAGCCTCTCCTCGTCTGTCGTTACGACTTTCCCAGTCATGCTCATCGGGAGCGTACACTTTCTTTGACCTGCCTTTTCTGGCTGACATGCCTACAGAAGCCCTTCTGATTATTCTTTGCATCCCTTACCAAGTTCAGGTCCAGACGATCCTCCAATATTTAAAAAAGGATGGAAGAAGAACATCCAACATCTTTCCAATCCTATGCTATTTCTTCAGTATGACAGAGAGAAGCAGCAAATTCTGCTGGAAGGGTAGGGGCATGTTTTGAGCTAGGGGCATATTTTGTGGTGCATATGGGGTCAGATTCACTGGTCTACTGGAGCAAAGAAAAAGCAGCATAAGGTGACCTTCATGTGGCTAGCAGTGAGCACCTTCCTGTGCAAGGTTCTTTCCTCTGCTGCTTGCGGGAAACTGAGAGAAAGCAAGCAGCATCTGTGCCTGGCTCACAGAACAGAAAAAGCTCACTGTGCTGGCATGAAGGAAAGAGCATGGATGTTGGATGGGGGTGCAACAAAGTTCTGTTTTCCAGAATGGACTGAGTGGTCAGCTAAGCCAAAAATGTTGATCTGTGACTCAAAGGACAGTGAGAAGTGCTAAAGAAAATCTTTGAAGACTTACGCAAATACACAGATACAATGGAACTTTTAAAACATTTCCACTGAATTTAATGAAAAGGAGATACTCACTTTGCATGGTAATCAGTTGCTGGCCTGAGATCATTTACAGTTACTTTATTTTCTTCTCCACTGCAAAGAGATATGATTTTGTTTAAGAAACTGTTTCAGAATCCCATATATTTATAAAAAGACACATATCATCTAACCCATTCACCTAATGCTCCTTCTAAGAAACGTATTTGCTAACAGTTTCTCTCTGTTGCTAAATATAGTAAAACATAAATGCATTTATCTTTGAATTTTGGGGACTTCTTGCATTTGATTCCTGTTCTTTTGCCCTGGTGGTTTGGGGGCGCTTTTTTTGTTGTTTTGTTTTTTTGGGGTTTTTTAAAAGAATATTTATTTTCCTCTTTACTCAGTAAGACCAGTAAGACCATACATGTATATGCATGTATGTTATTACACAAAAAACATCGAAGTACTGGGGCCTACAGAAGCTCAGTTCAGCCTTGCAAAAATGATTATCTAAAACTGCATATGACTGCATACACCTACTTGTCAGTATCTAGTAAACAGAAAAGGCACCCAAGCGACATCTATTAGTCTGCTTTTGCTGACATCAGCTTATGTTAGCGAAGCCCACTTCTTTTCCTCTAGTTTCGAGGACAGGGATATCCAACTTGTGATTTGTGTACTGCTCCCAAGAAATCCATGGAAGGTTGACTAAGATAAACTAGCTAGATACAAAGATTTATAATTATTAGAGAGCTCTACACCCTTAAAGTAAATTTTACTGTTCTATTTCTCCAAATACCAAAAAACCGATTGAAAACCATTGTGTTAGGAATGAAACAACTGAAGAGTTTTGTTTGTATTGCTGCTGCTAGAGTTGTGTTTTGTGTGAATTTACTTACTTTTTTTCATATCACAAGACTGTCTCTTACCAAGAGCATTTTCAGGGAAGGAAGGGATAACCTTATTGGGAGCAGAAGCATGTGCTGAAGTAAATAACTACAAATACAATTTGTATTTGTCACTATTTATATATCTCTCTACTTGAGAACCCATAGTTTCTACTGCAGCTGGCTGAAATACTGCTAAGTGATATTAAAACATGCCTCCAGCATCTAAGAACAAAGTCTTTACATTCGAATTGATGGTGGAGACTTCAGTAATAGACCAGAACTAATTCTACTGAAAAAAGTAGTTAATTTCAAAATAGAAGCTGCACAAAACTGCTAATTATTTAAATCTCTGGACAACAGGCAGATTTTTAATGAGGTTTTAAGCCACATAATTCAATGCAACAGCAATTAAACAAAAATAACGAAGACCCACACGTATACAGTTTTGTATTTTCCATCTTTTCCGGTATTTGAAATCATCACTTCATAAGTATAAACATCTGGTATGTCGTTCTTGTCACTGTCTTCTCTGGTATCACTTGATGGAGGGGACCATGTAAGCAGTGCTGTTCTTGCCTGAATGTCTGATACCTGTAGAAATACAACTTTTGAGATTTCTGCCATTTAAATGCTGTCATATATAAATGATGCTTTGCCACAAAGGACCAAATAAGAGAGATGAAAATCACATACCGTTAGTGTATCAGAGTATTTATACTGATATCATAGCTACTATCTATTTCTTACAGATGAAATCAAGCTAAAAATACAAGAGATGTCATGAGAAAACTGCAATCCTAGGGCACAGGGCTGAGGGCAAAGAAACTTCTAAACAACGAATGCCACCTAGTGGGCTACCTAAAAATGAACGGTATCATTTGTGAGGCAGGAGAGATGGAAGCATATACTGCGAGATCAGCCATTTCATTAAATGACAATGTTTCAGGCATTTTTTCTTGGATGTCGCTGGTACTATGATTTTTTTTTTAAGACCTTGTTGTTGACTTCAGTTTTCTTATGAAATAATATAGCTCAGGAATTTCTCCAGAATGGCTGGCATTACTCTAACAGGTACATAAAGGAACTTTGCTTTGGGCATTTAATTATGGCTGTGACAAGCAAACTCTCTCATTAGATTAGAACCTATTTTGTTAACTACCCCAGCACATTTTTTTTGATCAGGATATTAATATGGATACAACTACCTGAGGATCTAATCTAGTACTCTGTTAGGGAACAGAGTATTAGAAGGTATCTCATAACGTACTTTGAGCCCAGGTGCTCGTGATGAAGGTATGCTCATGTGGTCCATGTACATGTACATATATAGACATATGTATATATATAAGCAACACCCTAAAGAATTCCTGTGGTGATGCTTGCCTGCACAGCCCACCCTTGGCAGAAAAGCCTGGATAACAGCACTTGCTGTGACATAAATATGACTATAAACAGCGTGTGTGAACGCAACACCTCCAACTGTCTAAGAAGTGTTTGCCACAGCAGACTCATGCTAAAGGCAGCAACCCTCAGGTGGATTAAATGGTAACCGGGGAATCACAAAGAGACTTCTGAAATAAAGAAGTGATCAGCTTCAGAAGTACAAAAGCAGCATGAAAATTCATAAGGATAGAAAATGCTGATGATCAAAACCAATTCAAAGTTTAGTAAGAGAAATTCCACTATAACCTTGATGTGGTCACAAACTACACTAACGCGAACTACAACCACCTCAGTACAATATTAATTTCTGGAAGTCTTTGGAGTTGTGGGAAGCATCCTGGGTGGCAAAAGCTCCCTCTCAGACAACCTTAATCCCTCCCTCGTGGGTTGCAGAAGGCGGCTGGGGATAATGAAGGAAAGAAGTGTAGGTTCCTGGAGGACCTACTATGCTCCAAGACTAGTACATCCTCTGTAAGATGATCTATTTGTATGTTTAGCTACCTTAACAGTTGAAATGTTTTTCCTAATGTCCAGGCAGTATCTCTCTTACTACCAGCTAAGCCTACTAGTCCTAGTCACCATGGAGCTGAACATTAGATGTTCCCTTCCTTTCTGTAGCTGTTTTTTATGTATTTGAAGACTGTCAGCATTTGTGTCTCCCCCCCACTTATTTAAATCTCTGATCATTCTCACTGTCCTCTTTATCTCCTACTGTTTCATTACATTTAGTGCACTGCCCAGAACTGCACATAATACCCCACCTAACGCTTTCCTAATGCCAAACCACCTTATACACTTGACAGATTACATTTCTCCTCATACATACTAGTCTGTCTATCTTCTTTTATACCCGAAAAGTAATGCAGCTGGTATGAGTGAAAAGTGGCATTACATCTTGTATTGGGTTTGTGTGGCAAGGTTTTGGTAGCGGCAGGGCTACAGGGGTGGCTTCTGTGAGAAGCTGCCAGAAGCTTCCCCCATGTCCGATGGAGCCAAC